CAATTTGCATACTACCCTTTTTATTATATAGAATGTTTGCCAACCCCTGGTTTAGACATGTATCTTCACCTATTTACAATCTTCAAAATAATCTCTGAAGACTTCGGTGCCAGGATTATCGATAGGATTTGCAGGGCCTTACCAAGACATGCTTTTGTTAGTCTGGGAAGATTGTTTCTCTGTGACTCATTCTTAAGAAGGCGCTTCATGAAACCAGGATGCAAATTCTAGCTGAACACATTTATGCACTTGAATATCCATTCCTGGTGAGTGTTATGAGACAATAATGGGGAAAGCTTTTACTCTAGGGCAGTGGTTCTCATTCCTTGTTTTATTAGGAACTGAGGAGCTTTAAAACCAAATGAAAGCAAAATTGCTGAGGGCGAAGCCTAGGCATTAAGATCCCCAAACCTCCCCTGGTGATTATAACAAAGTTAGCAGCCCTCACACTGTGTCCTCCAGGATTCTCGGATCCTTTCTGTAGCCAAACAACCCCCATCCTGGAATGGAACCTTCCTGTGAAAAAAGGTGGAGTCTGCATTTCAGTTCATATTGGTACCAGTAGAGGTCACTGTGCTCAGAGAAATAGTCATCTGGGGAAAAAGTGATTGTTCTGTTCAGGTTATGTGGAACAGTATTTACATAACTATTGGGTTATGCCAACACCAACGCTACCCCAGGCATGGCCTCTGGTCATGATTATTGCTTCTGTTAGGTGCATATCAAACAACTGTTAAATCTGATGGGTTGATGCTTTTATCATTATAAAATATCGACTAGTAATATTTCTTGTTTTAAAGTCTATTTTGTCTGATATTAAAATAGCCACTCCAGCCGAAACAGGTTTGGCTCAGTGGATAGAGCGTCAGTCTGCGGACTGAAGGGTCCCAGGTTCGATTCCGGTCAAGGGCATGTACATTGGCTGTGGGCACATCTCCGGTGGGGGGTGTGCAGTAGGCAGCTGGTCCATGTTTCTCTCTCACTGATGTTTCTATCTCTCAATCCCTCTCCCTTCTTCTCTATTAAAAAATCAATAATATATATATTTTTAAAATAGCTACTCCAACTCTACGATGATTACTATTTGTATGGTATATCTTTTCCATCTGTTTCAGCTTATTGGTGAAGAGAGGTATATCTAGTTAGTTACTAGATTTTGCTTTTTAATTCAGTCTAGCAAAATGTTTTTGGGATGTTTAATATGGTTGGATTTATAGTTGTTATTTTGTTGTTTTCTGTTTCTTTTTTTTGTTTCCTTGAACTGCCTTTTTAAAAAATATATATATATTTTAAATATATCTTATTTTTTTTTACAGAGAGGAAGAGAGAGGGATAGAAACATCAATGAGAGAGAAACATCGATCAGCTGCCTCTTGCACATCCCACCCTAGGGATGTGCCCGCAACCAGGGCACATGCCCTTGACCGGAATCGAATCCGGGACCCTTTAATCCCCAGGCCAACGCTCTATCCAGTGAGCCAAACCGGTTTCGGCGAACTGTCTTCTTTTATAATAAATATCTTATTGTATCATTTTAGCTCTTTTGTTTATCTTTTATTTTTATTATGTCCTTAATAGCTGCATCTTAATTTATTATAGTCTCTTTTGGATTAATATTTCAATAAAATACAGAAATTTTGCTCCAATGTATTTTCTTTTTCTGAACTTTCCTCTCTAGTGCGCTTTTTTTTTTTTTTTTTTTTTTTTTTAAACACACCTATTTTATTGATTTTTCACAGAGAGGAAGGAAGAGGGATAGAAAGTTAGAAACATCAATGAGAGAGAAACATCCATGAGCTGCCTCCTGCACACCCCCTACCAGGGAATGTGCTTGCAGCCAATGTGCATGCCCCTGACCGGAATCGAACCTTTCAGTCTGCAGACCGACGCTCTATCCACTGAGCCAAACCGGCTTCGGCCGTGCTCTATTTTTTAAAATACATTTTTATTGTTTTCAAAGAGGAAGGCAGAGGGAGGGAGAGATAGAAACATCAATGATGTGTGAGAATCATTGATTGGCTCTTGACCCTAATCAAACGTGGGACCCTTCAGCCCGCAGGCCAGTGCTCTAGCCACTGAGCTAAACGCTAGGGCCTGATGAGTTACCCTGTTTCCCCGAAAATAAGACAGTGTCTTATATTAATTTTTTCTCCCAAAGTTGCGCTAGGCCTTATGTTCAGGGGATGTCTTATCTTTCCATGCGCTAGGTCTTATTTTTGGAGGATGTCTTATTTTCGGGGAAACACGCTATTTTCCTGTTGCTGTCACATTTTCTCTGGAGGTTGTTGAGCGTCTTGGATATATAAATTGATGGTTTTCATAAAATCTGGGAGGTTTTTCCCCCAAAATTATTTTTTGAAATATTTTCTGTCCCTTTCTCGTCTCTCCTTTTTGGACTCCCATTACATATATGCTGATGTACTTGATGTAGTCCCACATGTGTCTGAGGTTCTTTTCCATTTCCTTCAATCTCTTCTCACCTTTTCAAATTAAAACAATTTCTATTAATCTGTCATCAAGTTCTTATTTTTTCTTCTGCCATCCTGAATCTGCTTCTGAGCTTCTCTAGTGAACTTTTAATTTGTTGTATGTTTCACCTTTAGTGATTTCATCATAAAATTATGCTCACATGCCATACTGAACATGCCTCATAACTATGTAATGTCTTTTCTCACGCACATTAAAGTTCTCCTTTGTGTGTGTTTCACAAAAAAAGAATAGACTGGTTGCCACCACAAAAGATTAATTTCTCTAACATCTTACTTTCATCAGACTTGTAGCTTGACAATCAAACTTTGCCTCTTTATTGTCTTCCATAAACACAATTAATTAAAACACCAATAATTTCTTTCAGCTGCTCTAACGTTGAATATCCTTATTTGGGCTACTCAGGCGAGGCTTCTGGTAAAAACAATCCTATTTTCAGAGAAAAACAAAGTACTTTGCCTTGCAAGTGAGAAAACAGGCGAATTAGTGAAATTAGATTGTTTGCCCTGCAGTAGATGCCAGGAGCAAAGTTAGTGTTAGTTCAGGGCTCCCAATTGTCAGTGCAATTCTACATCATCACATTGCTGTTGGCCTTTCGCTCCCAGAGATGGTGATACCCCCGCGGGAATATATCACATCTCAGACATCACCTGCTTCCCTTGAAAGACCCAGTAGAGAACCGTGTGCAGAATAGGTACTCAGAAAATCATGCTGAAGTGAATTAAAAATAAACACTCTCTTTGGTTTATTGTGGCTGCTAAGGGGGATGTATGGGAGCACAATGGGCTGCCCGTTAGGTGGCTTTCCTCCAGGAAGGTGCTGGGCTCGTACTGGAGAGCACAGTAGAACCTGGAACACACCCTATACTTGGTCTATGTACGACTTGAAGGTAAGTGAAGAAACTGAAGTCTTTGAAGGTACTGGGCTTTTTATTTATTTATCTACTTATTTATTTATTTATTTACTTATTTTATTGATTTCAGAGGAAGGAGACGGGAAAGAGAGATAAGGGCGGAGAATCATTAAGGGTAGAGATAACCAATAAGGGTAGAGAATCATTGATTGGCTGCCTCCTACATGCCCCACACCAAGGACCAAGCCCACAGCCCGGGCATATGCCCTTGACCGGGAATGGAACCCTGACCTTCTGGCTCCTAGGACGACACTCAACCACTGAGCCACAGCGGCTGGGCAGTGTAGAGTGTTTTCAAAATTTCAATTGCGCCCTAGCCAATTTGGCTCTGGGGTAGAGCGTTGGCCTGTGGGCTGAAGGGTCCCAGTTTGGTTCCGGTCAGGGGCATGTGCCGAGGTTGCATGCTCCATCCCCAGTAGGGGGTGTGCAGGAGGCAGCCGATCAATGATCCTCTCTCATCACTGCTGTTCCTCTCTTTTCCTCTCCCTTCCTCTCTGAAATCAATAAAATATATTTGGGAGAAAAACATTTCAATAGGTTGCTAGTATATAAAAGGTATATTTCTTTAAAAAGATGATTCTACTCTTCAGGAAAGGAGGGAGCCCCAGCCTCATGTACATCAGATACCATCTGTTCCGGGTGCCATGTGCAGTGCTCAGAAAGGCCCTCCTCACGTGGGCATAGCTCCTGACTCTGTGCTTCCTTCCTTCCTTCCTTCCATGCTGCGGCTGGGCTGCGCTTTCTCAGATTACTTCAAAGGCGCAGAATCAAAATTACAGGCTCTTTAAGTCACTCCACGTCTAAGGCTCAGAGACAGGTAATCACTCAGAATAATGCTTTTTATAAAAGTGAATCTGGGGCCGAAACTGGTTTGGCTTAGTGGTAGAGCGTCGGTCTGCGGACTGAAAGGTCCCGGGTTCGATTCCGGTCAAAGGCATGTACGTTGGTTGTGGGCACATCCCTGGTAGGGGGTGTGCAGGAGGCAGCTGGTCGATGATTCTCTCTCATCGACGTTTCTAGCTCTCTATTTCTCTCCCTTCCTCTCTGTAAAAAATCAATAAAAATATATTAAAAAAAAAAAAAAAAGTGAATCTGGGAAGAAGGGCTGGCTCTTAGCAATAAGGGTCAGACCCTGCTTTGCCCATTAGCTCTGGAGGGTAGAAGAGGAGCAAAGAAGACTTGAATTCACATGTTTTGGCTGACTTTGTTCCTGGCTGTGGGCAGTTAGGTGGTTCATTTAGCTTCTTTCAGCCTCAGCTCCCTCACTGTCAATCAGCTACTCTGGGCAGAGAGCTCCACCTGCCGGCATGCTGAATGAACACATGTGACCTCTGAGAACTCCAGAGGGATGCTCAAGAGCAAGGAGGTCTGAGGTAGAGGAGGAAGACAAAGAAAAGGAAGGAGTGTCGGCTCCGAGAAAGGAGGGGTGAAAAGTAGAAAAGAAAGGCGGGTGGGGGGAGAGATGGAGCCCACAGCATGGGGTCTGGGCTGGGGCTAGGTCTTGGATGATGTGTGGTCGTGGGTTCCCGTAACTACACAGAGAATAGAGCTGGCTATTAGAGCCCGTCATTGGAAAGGCGATTGGTATTCAGAGGGGCTGTCATGACAGCTTCCAGTTGTGTAATTTTAATTCGCAGGATCACTTTTAAAGCCTCTAATCGCCATCTCATCTCTGAATAGGAGACAGGCTGCTGCTGGGCTCCCAGCGTGGCCCTCGAGCGGTCGGGTCTTCACACGTCCTTAAGCCACTGAGAACCTGAACCAGGTGGTGTGGTCGTACTCCTCGCCGGGCCTCAGCAGCACAGGAGGGAAGTGGGGCTGTGAAGGGGAGAAAACACAGGTTACACCTTGCCAGCCCAGACTGCGCCCTGACCCCGTCCATCGGCAGTGGAAGAACTGTTTACTACTGGCTGGCCAGCGTGGCTCAGTGGTTGAGCATCGACCTAAGAACCAGGAGGTCACGGTTCAATTCCCAGTCAGGGCACATGCCCAGGTTGCAGGCTCAATCCCCTGTGTGGGGCATGCAGGAGGCAGCCAATGGACGATTCTCATCATTGATGTTTCTATCTCCCTCTCCCTTCCTCTCTGAAATCAATTTAAATATATATATATATATATATATATATATATATATATATATATACACATATATATATTGTATATGTGTGTGTGTGTGTGTATATATATATATATATACATATATATATATATATAAAATCAATAAAAAACATACTAAAAAAAACTTTTTTATTGGTTTCCTATGAGATAAAGAATGAAAATCAACCACATCACTAAGCACACTTGGTAGCAGCAAGACTTTCTTGAAGGAAGCAGCGTGTTGACTTATACCTGGTGCAAGCTGCATGCATCTTATCCTAGGCTGGTGCTTTGCAGAGCATCCACTGCTCCAGGAAATAGCTAGGAAAAGTTATGAGGAAGCAAACAGGAAGAGAAGACGCGAAGGATCGCCTTGAAAAGTGTGGCTGTAGAAGATGAGTAGGCATTGATAAGAAACATGAAACGGAACGAAGGCTCTGAAGGTACAAAATAAGAGGTATGTTTAAAAACATGTCAGTGCCATGCTAGTAACTTGGCTCAGTGTTTCCCGTGTCTATCGTGACTCGGAGACGAGAACACACGTGGACTTTTGACTCACACAGACCTGAGCCACGCCCTCCGTGCTCCCGTGTGGCCTTGGCCACACCGCCCCCCTCGCAGGCCAGCCTGTCGCGTTACCTGGTTGACGGCGTCGGGCCAGTGCTGGGTCTCCAGGCAGAAGCCGGAGTGCCTGGGGTAGACGGCGCCGCTCTTGCCCTTCAGGGTGCCGTCCAGGAAGTTGCCCGTGTAAAACTGGACGCCGGGCTGGGTGGTGTGCACGTCCAGCACCCGCCCGCTTCCGGCGTGATGGACCCTGGGGACAGAGCCACATGGAGGGACATTTGAAACAGGTAGGGCCCAGCCACAGAGCCGGGAGACAGGGAGTGACGGCATCCTCCGTGAGGCACTGGAGGGTGGTTCTGAGGATCCTCAGTAGTGACTTCTCACCTGATTTTGGTTTCTCTGGGGACGGACGGACGGAACAGGTTCACCCCACCAGGTGTGTGGTGTGTGAGTGAGTGTGTGTGTGTGTGTGCGCGCGAGTGTGTGTGTGTGTGTGCGCATGTGAGTGTGTGTGGTGTGTGTGTGAGTGTGTGTGTGTGAGTGTGTGTGAGTGTGTGTGTGTGTGTGTGTGTGGTGTGTGTGTGTGTGTGTGTGTGTGTGAGTGTGTGTGTGTGTGTGAGTGTGTGTGTGTGTGTGTGTGAGTGTGTGTGTGAGTGTGTGTGTGTGAGTGTGTGTGTGTGTGTGTGAGTGTGTGTGTGTGTGTGTGTGTGTGTGTGTGAGTGTGTGTGAGTGTGTGTGTGAGTGTGTGTGTGTGAGTGTGTGTGTGTGTGTGTGTGAGTGTGTGTGTGTGAGTGTGTGTGTGTGTGTGTGAGTGTGTGTGTGTGAGTGTGTGTGTGTTGAGGGCAGCCAGATTGGAGAGAGGCAATTTTAGGGTTTTGGGGTCCTGGAGGGGCTGAGATACTTGCTCATAAGGAGCTGGAGCGAAATAACCAGCTGTTTTTGGAAGACATGCTTTCCTCCCTGGGCCCAGAGCGGGCTGTGCTCTTTAGTCAGCTCCCCCCTACATCTGCTGGGGTTTCGGTCTTTTGCTTCCAAACCAGGCTTCTGCCGAGGTGAGCCCCACCTGGCCTGGGCCTCCCAGTCTCTCTGAGGAGTAAAAGGTGCCCGCCCTGTGGCCCACCAGGAAGCCAGAGGGAAGGCGTTTTGGGAAGAGGCGCTTGGGAGGGAAGGCAGGGTCTCCTCGGTGCGGGCAGGGCCGGAGGAAGGAGCAGGGGGCCCAGCGGAGAAAAGCAGGCTTGATCTGAAAGAACACAGCCGGGCCCTGACCGGTTTGGCTAAGTGGATAGAGCGTCCGCCTGCCGACTGAAGGGTCCCAGGTTCGATTCCCATCAGGGGCATGGACCTTGGTTGTTGGCACATTCCCAGTGGCGGGTGTGCAGGAGGCGGCTGACTGATGTTTCTCTATCATTGATGTTTCTGGCTCTCTATCCCTCTCCCTTCCTCTCTGTAAAAAAATCAATAAAAATATATTAAAAAACAAACAAACAAACAAAAAACACACAGCCGGGACCTTGGTCTGGGCCTCCGTGGGGAAGCAGGCTTTTTCAGTTCTCTTTCTCTTAGAGTTTGGATTGTTTTCTCCTATTAAAAATCCACTCGTTCTCGCCAAAACCGGTTTGGCTCAGTGGTAGAGCGTCGGTCTGCAGACGGAAAGGTCCCAGATTCGATTCGGGTCAGGGGCATGTTCCTTGGTTGCAGGCACATCCCCGGTGGAGGGTGTGCAAGAGGCAGCTGGTCGATGTTTCTCTCATCGATGTTTCTAGCTCTCTATCTCTCTCCCTTCCTCTCTGTAAAAAATCAATAAAATATATTAAAAAACAAATTCACTCGTTCTACACACACTCATGGATCATGCGCTAGTGGCAAGCATGGCCTGAGGCAGAGGCAGAGGCAGGGGTTTGCGAAGCTGAGCTGGCAGCTGGGGCTCAGGGTTAGCGGGGAGCGTGTGCCCACACACGGCCTCTGGGGCTGAGCAGAGTCACTCTCCAACCGCATGGACGTGGGCGGAGCACAACCACAAGTCAGGGGAGCACCGGGGCTCCGGGAGCCCAGGGGAGGCGGGAGGGGCTTCACTCCGGGGGGTTAGGGCTCCTAAGAGAAACGGGGCCTTAAAGAACAGGCGGAGCTGGAGAGTGGGAGCAGAGAGAGGCGGGATGCCGGGCAGGGCGGATGGCCTTGGGCGGGGGGGACCGCGGGAAAGTTCTGCAGAGCTCCCCCGTGAAATACAAGCTTTGAAAAGACATGGGATCACTTATCTAGGGGAAATAAGGAACAACATGAACCGATGAACAAACACAGACCCGGAGACAGGGAAGCATCGATCAGACTGTCAGGCCTCAGAGGGAAGGTAGGGGAGGGTGGGGTAAGGGGGAGAGATCAACTAAAGGACTTGTGTGCATGCTTATGAGCCTAACCAGTGACCATGGACAACAGAGGGATGGGGGCATGCGTGGGGGGGGGTTTGGGGTGGGAGGGGGGGGGGATGAGGACAAATATGTGATACCTTAATCAATCAAGAAAAAAAAACCAATAAAATTTATCAAGTGATTAAAAAAAAAAAAAAAGACATGCGACGCGGCATGCGGTCCCTGTGGCCAGAGGAAAAGCTCCCCCAGCAGGGGTCGCCATCCCCTCTCCCCGGCGGGGGCAGGAGGTGGGAAGTACCTACCGCGCACAGAAGTGCTTTTCCTTGGAGCCCTTCAGGCAGAAGTTGTGGTCGAAGCCGTCGACGTGGAAGTCCTGCAGGTGTTTCCCGAGCGCCACCGGCTTCCGCAGGTCAAACGCGGTCCCTTGCACCGGGGCCACCTCTCCTGTGGGCGGAGGTGGGGGAAGGGGGAGGAGCCCCAGTCACATGTGTGTGCCCGGGTCCTAAGGCACCCAGGCTCCCCTTCTCTGCCTGCATTTCTTTATTTTTATTTTATTTTATTGATTTGCCACAGAAGAAGGGAGAGGGATGGAGAGCTAGAAACGTCGATGAGAGAGAAACACCGACCAGCTGCCTCTTGCACACCCCCTACCGGGGATGTGCCCGCAACCAACGTACATGCCCTTGACCGGAATGGAACCTGGGACCTTTCAGTCCGCAGACCGACGAGCCAAACCGGTTTCGGCTTTGCCTTCATTGCGATTTGTAAAGGAGATATGTGTGTGTGTGTGTGTGTGTGTGTGTGTGTGTGTGTGTGTGTATGTGTGTGTGTGTGTCCAGATCCTTTGAAGGAGAATGAATTATTCGATTTTTAAAATTTCTAAGATGCTACCGATTGCCAAGGCAGTGGTCGTAACATCCAGAATCATTCGCACGCGGGAGAAATAAAAATGAGATGCATGATTTCCATTATGAGCTAAGCTGGATAAGGGGTGATGGTTGGCCTAACCCCGCGGTCGGCAAACTGCGGCTCCAGAGCCACATGCGGCTCTTTGGCCCCTTGAGTGTGGCTCTTCCACAAAATACCACGGCCCGGGCGAGTCTATTTGGAAGAAGTGGCGTTAGAAGAAGTTTGAGTTTTAAAAAATTGGCTCTCCAAAGAAATTTCGATCGTTGTACTGTTGGTATTGGGCTCTCTGGACGAATGAGTTTGCCGACCACTGTCCTAACCATTGAGTCAATCACTTGGCTGACATGTCTCGCTTTAGGGCTGAAATATCCCAGGGCCCATAACCAAGCATTCGCACCTGGCAGTGGCTAACCAGGCAGAGAGGGGTGATTCTCAGCCCATGCGGGCCTGGCGGCCTGCGGAGGAGGGTCAGGTGTCGCCCCTCTTCCTGATGAGCTGCACCTCCTCGCCCCGGAGGTGGTTCTGCAGGAAGTCGAGGGGCGGAGGGTCTGCGGGTGGAACCAGGGCCTGCAGCTCCCAACGGGCCTGGCTCAGGCTCCTCCCCACGGCCAGGGCGGCTTCCATGCGCCCTGAGTTTTGCCCACTCCTCTTGGGGAGGCATCAGGGCATCCTGGGGAGAAAGTGGCCACCGCGCTGGTTTTGCAGCTGTAAGAGACTCTCAGCGCCTCGTGCTTCTTCGCTGCAGATTCTCAGAGACCCGCGCCCTCCATGGCCACAGCGTCCGGTCGAACGGAAGCCAGAGAGCGGTAGGTGCGGGAGCCCGCAGGTGCGGGCTGGCCGGGCGGTTGACCGCTGCCTCCACCTCGCTGGAGTGATCCTGACGGATTTGGGAGCTCATGGTGGTTGGGCAATAAGTGAAGGTAAAAAAGAAACCGGTGTGTTGGCTGGTCCCAGAGGTGGTTCAGAAGGTGGGGACTGGATAAGGCAGACGAGGGTGGCCGGAGGCTGGAGGAAGAGGGGTCCTTGGGTCTGTTCCGTCCACACGCAGCTGAAGCAAGAGACAGACCCAGGACCGCCGAGGAAAACCGTCTGATTTCCTTTTTGATCCAGGAATTATTAAGACTTAAAACACTTGTAGGTCGATATTGGCTGTGTGACTTATGTCTTGTGAAAACGCCTCGGGTTTCCTTCACGAGTCGATGTGCTGGTTTCGTGTGACCCTTCCTTGGGAGCTGCATCCGTGATCATGACAAGGTGTCCTCTCCGATGCGATTTCATGCTTTCTGCCCTGAAACCAGCCTGTCCTGGCGTTGAGATGGAGACCCAGCCCCTTGGGCTTTCGGGTGATGGGTGTGCTCTGTAAGTCTCATATTTCCACCCTTCCCGTTCCCTCGGTCTGTACCGGCATCCCGCTGGGTTCTGCTCTGGGAGTCCATCTCGGAGACTTTGTTTAATAGGGGCATTCCATGGCATTAACATGACAAAGACGTGTTCTAAGTGTCCTTTGGTCTGTCCTTCTATTTTGTGGCATGCTTTCTGTGTTTATGAATTCTAGTTGTTCCTTTTTTAAAAATCTTTTGCTAGGATCTGTTTGGGTTTCTGATCCGTTAGAGAGTGTGTACTTTTGTGTGGTGGTTGCATCTGTCTGTAAGGAGCTTCAGTGTAATATACTTGGTGTTGTTTCTTAGATTCCGCCTAGCCGCTCCTTCCTCTCCCTTCCCGCTTCTCCTCTTTGCTGAGGAGGATTTCGGACGTTTCCAACTTTAAGTATTCTCTTTAAAAAATATTTTATTGATTTTTTACAGAGAGGAAGGGAGAGGGAGAGAGAGTTAGAAAAACCGGTGAGAGAGAAACATCCATTGGCTGCCTCCTGCACACACCCTACTGAGGATGTACCTGCAACCAAGGTATAATACATGCCCTTGACAGGAATCGAACCTGGGACCCTTCAGTCCACAGGCCGATGCTCTATCCCAGCGTTTTTCAACCGCTGTTCCGCGGCACACGGATGTTGCCTGGTGTGCCGTAGGTGCAGACAAGACAAGAATTTTATAATTTTTCACTATTTTGTTTACTTAATATTTCATAATAAAGTAATTATAAAATACTTTCTTTGTGTTTATTTGATTCCTATTCAAGAGAATTACTTTATATATAGTGAATATAGGCACAGAGTTAAATTTTTTAACATTTTCTAATGGTGGTGTGCCTCGTGATTTTTTTCATGAAACAAGTGTGCCTTTGCCCAAAAAAGGTTGAAAAACACTGCTCTATCCACTGAGCCAAACCGGTTAGGCGTAGGGGTGTCAAACTCAATCAGAGAAGGGGCCAAAATCTAAAATCCAGCCTAAATCGCAGGCCGAATGGTTTACTGAACAGTCATAAACTGACATTGTGATGGAAACGCAGCGGAGTGCAGTGATGACAGCGCGGTGCGGGCCACATTGCAAGGCCTGGCGGGACGGATTTGGCCCGCGGGCCTTGTGTTTGACACATGTGGGACAATGTTAAGTATGCTTAACAAGGGCCCTTTCCTTTCCAGCAGATGGTGCTAGAGACACGACAGAAAGAGCTTTGTTTGTAAAATAAACATCGGCCTCATTTGAGTTCAGATTCAGCCCTCTAACCCCTGACCTGTTCTGGGAGAATGAATCGTTGAACTTTTTGGATCGGTAAGGCCAAAAGCCAAATCTTGGCAGTGACCTCCCCCCCCTCACCCCAAGGCGCTATTGTCCTGTGAAGTCTGGGTGACCAACCACCTCCCAAAGTGACTTAAAAAAAAAAGGGCAACTGTTTCCTGATGAACCGATTAGGCTGGGAAAAAGAAGCAGCTGGCCGAAACTGGTTTGGCTCAGTGGATAGAGCGTCAGCCTGCGGATGAAGGGTCCCAGGTTCTATTCCGGTCAAGGGCATGTACCTTGGTTGTGGGCACATCCCCAGTAGGGGGTGTGCAAGAAGCAGCTGATTGATGATTCTCTCTCACTGATGTTTCTAACTCTCTATCCCTCTCTCTTCCTCTCTGTAAAAAAAAAGCAATAATATATATATATATTTTTTTTAAAAAGAAACAGCTGTTCTCAGGGGCTCACGCATGTTTTTTAAGGTTATCCACCCATATGCTGAGTGGGAACTTACGGTATGCTTTCTTCCCTTATATGGTGTTCACAGCAGTATTTGGTTCTTCCCTCAAGCTATCCTTGTCTCAGAATCTAACCCCTCTGACAGTCCCCATGCGATTTGTCTAGGTCAGTCAAGGTTACTTCTCTTGAGAGTTGGAAAAAAGAAAGTCATGCGGTTTTCATCATATCAGGACCCAAGGGCGAATTTCCAGTCTGTTGACCAGCTCTTGAGCAATCTGCAAATCAGTGTTTATTTTACTCTCCTCTCTGTAAAACAAAGCTGCTGTTACTCGCTGCTTTACACATTACATGGAAATATTTGGCCATGTCATGGCAAGGAAGCCCTGGTTTTAAAAATGAGAAACTTGGGGGATCATTCTAAAGTGAGGTTTGGCTAAATGAAAAGAAAACACGCAAAAAGGTTCCACTCTGTGCTTTCCAGCCTCAGGCCCGCACACATTCTTCCTGTGCCTCATGGTTGGGTGCATAGAAAATGTCCCCAGATTCACCCTGTCGCTGGGCCCTTTCTCATAAGCAGAATGTCCTTTCTGTGCCGCCGCCCCCCCCCCAACACACCCACCCCCCACGCTCTGGCAAAGTCCCCGGGATCACTTATGCGTATTCCTCAATGCCATTTCCTCTGTGAAGGGCTGCAGCCTCCACAGTGAGAACTAATCCTCTTTTCTACTTTGTTCCCATCACGCTTTCTTATTATTTTTACATATATTTTATTGATTTTTTTTTTTTTTTTTTTTACAGAGTGGAAGGGAGAGGGATTGAGAGTTAGAAAGATCGATGAGAGAGAAGCATCCATCAGCTGCCTCCTGCACCCCCCTCCCACACCCCCACTGGGGATGTGCCCGCAATCAAGATACATGCCCTTGACGGGAATCGAACCTGGGACCCTTCTATCCACAGGCCGACGCTCTATCCACTGAGCCAAACTGGTTAGGGCTCCCATCACACTTTAAACATACATTCCCCCAAACATTCATCCCATTACGGCGTATTTACAGGGTTATGTCAAGCTGTTTGTCTAAAAGAAGTGTGAGTTCCTAGAGGGCCAGGGTGGTGTCCTATTTATCTCTGTTCCCCCCCGGGCGAGAAGCAGACTCTTTCTGGATGGAAAAACTGATGATGACAATGAAAAAAACAGGGGGGGTAACTGTGAATGGTACCGTATCCTGTGACAACCTCGCCTCGTCCCTTCACTGACAGACGATGAGGCTGGGATCCAGACGGCTGAAGGGACTTGCCCAGGGTGACACGTGCCCCTCCTCCAGCCCCTTCCCCCCGCCCCCCCGCCCCGGGAGCGGCCTGCTCAGAGCCCCTTCCACCCCCGCCCCCACGCGTTCTTGGTTTTTCTCACGAACGTGCAGCTCTAGCGAGGTGCTTTGGAGCTAAGAATAGAAGGAG